CTGGAATTACAAACAGGTGTTAATCATTATTCACTTGACCTCCTAATCACCGCTCGTCTCCAAACCCTTTCTCCCGCTGCAGCCTTTCGCCTTCCTCGCATCCCTCGCCACAGCGATCAAAGACAGTGTTCACATCATTACACTGATGACCACAAGCATCTATCTATATGAGACCAGGAACATTTATTATAACTGTTATATTTCTACAGTGCACTCTTTATTGTAGCATTTGACAGTTTTTGTGCTCTGCAATGCCATTTATAACCTCTCTGTATGGCTCTAGAGACATGGCTCTAGTTTTCATTCGAAAGTGTGGAAGATCAATTATTTCTAATTTGGCTACAAAAAAAACCTCGTCATATTTAATTCAATTTGTACATTTTTGAAATGTTTATTAAAGGTGAAGAAAGCCATAAACAAAAATATGAAAATAAGTCAATATTTAATTTTTCTTGCAGCATTTTGTGTGTACTGCTTTAATTTCGTATTCAGCAGTATTTATCCTTTAAAAAACTATTTCCCATTATGGTTAAAAGTACATGGACCTGGAATTTATTATTTCTGTTAATTATCATTTCTGAAGTCATGACGAGAGAAGTTTATATATATATTTATTTGTCTTTACCAACAAAACCCCCAGGTTGTTTGATGACCAGTTTCTTGTTTCAGTTCTCTATTTGAAGGCTAGTTTTATATCCATCTGATGCTGCTTTAATCATAATTGTTTCAAATCTGACCATATCTCATCAAAATTAAATCCAGAGACTTTTACATGTTTTGGGTAATGAAGTCTATATCCTTAAGTTTCTATTCCAAAGCCTACATACTCACCGCTGACTGGACGAGACATCTGTCAATCAACGTATACAGAGAAGAACCAGCCGAAGAACAGCAGAGGCGTGGTAGAAAGTTCGGAGATGGTATTAAAGTAGCTTAGTTTAAATGTTTTGTATGAATTGCCCTTACTATGGAATAAAAAATACGGGGTGTCTATTTACAGTGGGTACGGAAAGTATTCAGATCCCCTTAAATTTTTCACTCTTTGTTATATTGCAGCCATTTGCTAAAATCATTTAAGTTAATTTTTTTTCCTCATTAATGTACACAGAGCACCCCATATTGACAGAAAAACACAGAATTGTTGACATTTTTGCAGATTTATTAAAAAAGAAAAACTGAAATATCACATTGTCCTAAGTATTCAGACCCTTTGCTGTGACACTCATATTTAACTCAGGTGCTGTCCATTTCTTCTGATCATCCTTGAGATGGTTCTACACCTTCATTTGAGTCCAGCTGTGTTTGATTATACTGATTGGACTTGATTAGGAAAGCCACACACCTGTCTATATAAGACCTTACAGCTCACAGTGCATGTCAGAGCAAATGAGAATCATGAGGTCAAAGGAACTGCCTGAAGAGCTCAGAGACAGAATTGTGGCAAGGCACAGATCTGGCCAAGGTTACAAAAAAATTTCTGCTGCACTTAAGGTTCCTAAGAGCACAGGGGCCTCCATAATCCTTAAATGGAAGACGTTTGGGATGACCAAAACCCTTCCTAGAGCTGGCTGTCCGGCCAAACTGAGCTATCGGGGGAGAAGAGCCTTGGTGAAAGAGGTCTCTCCCAGGTCTGCGGGCGCTTATCTCTCATCTCTCCCCCAATCACTGGAATTACAAACAGGTGTTAATCATTATTCACTTGACCTCCTTATTACCGCTTGTCTCCAAACCCTTTCTCCCGCTGCGGCCTTTCGCCTTCCCACGGCCCCCTCGCCACATACCCCCACCGCCCGACTCAGGCCGGGGCGCCATCCGGCCTGCAGCCCCCCCCCCCCCCCCCCCCCCCAAGACGCTCAGGCCGGGTCATCTCCGGTCTGCAGCCCCTCCTTCCCATTTCTAGAGAGGAGGTCGGCTATCGCCATCTGGGCCCCCGGCCTGTGGACCATCTTGAACTTAAAAGGCTGTAAAGCTAGATACCAACGGGTGATCCGCGCGTTGGTATCCTTCATATGGTGGAGCCAGTGGAGGGGCACGTGGTCCGAACAGAGAGTGAATTCCCGTCCCAGGAGGTAATACTGGAGGGTGAGGACGGCCCACCAAGTGGCCAAACACTCTTTTTCAATGGTGCTGTATCTGGTCTCTCTCTTTGAGAGCTTTCGACTCGGATACAGCACCGGCCGCTCCTCTCCTCCGACCACCTGGGACAGGACAGCACGTTAGGAGCGTGTAAGAGCGGCCCGCCGCACAGGGCAGCCTTTACCTTGGTTAGGGCCTGTTGGCACAGCTCTGTCCACTGGACCGTATCTGGTGCTTCCTTTTTAGTGAGATCAGTCAGCAGGCTGGTGAGCTCCAAATAATTAGGAATAAACCTTCTATAGTATCCCGCCAGCCCCAGGAACTGTCTCACCTCCTCTTTGGTCTTGGGACTTGGGCAAGCCGCAATCGCAGCCGTCTTGTCAATTTGGGGACGCACCTGCCCATGACCCAAGTGGAAGCCCAGATACCATACCTCCACACGCTCAATTGCACACTTCCGCGGGTTCGCCGTGAGTCCAGCGACGCAGATGTTCCATATGCCGCTGCCAATCATTACTGTGTATAATGATGTCATCGAGATAGGCAGCGGCGTACGCGCTATGTGGCCGGAGGATCTTGTCCATGATTCGCTGAAAGGTGGCGGGAGCCCCGAACAAGCCGAACGGAAGAGTAACAAATTGGGGTGTTGTTGCAGACCCAGTCATACGCATTTTTAAGCGTCTCATCACGAGACTGCTCCAGCGGAAAGTCATCCAGCTCAGGGGATATAAGCTCCGCCCTCGCTCTCGTTTCCTGAGTCAGTCTGTGAAGGACCCGAAACCACATCCCCAGCCTGCGCCACTGCTTCTCCGTTTCCCAGCCCTGTCTCCCAAGAAGCATCTGCACACAAAACCCCCAATAATTGCGTAAAAGCTGGCCAATCTGTCCCCAAAATCAGCGGATGCCTAAGGTTGGAATTAACCGCCACCTTCATTCTATGCGTTTCCCCCCGAAACTGAATACTAACAGCCACTAACGGGTAGTCCACCACATCCCCGTGCACACACCTCACCTTAACTTTGCGGCTCATATCTGGCCAAACACTCTTTTTCAATGGTGCTGTATCTGGTCTCTCTCTTTGAGAGCTTTCGACTCGGATACAGCACCGGCCGCTCCTCTCCTCCGACCACCTGGGACAGGACAGCACGTTAGGAGCGTGTAAGAGCGGCCCGCCGCACAGGGCAGCCTTTACCTTGGTTAGGGCCTGTTGGCACAGCTCTGTCCACTGGACCGTATCTGGTGCTTCCTTTTTAGTGAGATCAGTCAGCAGGCTGGTGAGCTCCAAATAATTAGGAATAAACCTTCTATAGTATCCCGCCAGCCCCAGGAACTGTCTCACCTCCTCTTTGGTCTTGGGACTTGGGCAAGCCGCAATCGCAGCCGTCTTGTCAATTTGGGGACGCACCTGCCCATGACCCAAGTGGAAGCCCAGATACCATACCTCCACACGCTCAATTGCACACTTCCGCGGGTTCGCCGTGAGTCCAGCGACGCAGATGTTCCATATGCCGCTGCCAATCATTACTGTGTATAATGATGTCATCGAGATAGGCAGCGGCGTACGCGCTATGTGGCCGGAGGATCTTGTCCATGATTCGCTGAAAGGTGGCGGGAGCCCCGAACAAGCCGAACGGAAGAGTAACAAATTGGTGTAACCCGAACGGTGTGGTGTTGTTGCAGACCCAGTCATACGCATTTTTAAGCGTCTCATCACGAGACTGCTCCAGCGGAAAGTCATCCAGCTCAGGGGATATAAGCTCCGCCCTCGCTCTCGTTTCCTGAGTCAGTCTGTGAAGGACCCGAAACCACATCCCCAGCCTGCGCCACTGCTTCTCCGTTTCCCAGCCCTGTCTCCCAAGAAGCATCTGCACACAAAACCCCCAATAATTGCGTAAAAGCTGGCCAATCTGTCCCCAAAATCAGCGGATGCCTAAGGTTGGAATTAACCGCCACCTTCATTCTATGCGTTTCCCCCCGAAACTGAATACTAACAGCCACTAACGGGTAGTCCACCACATCCCCGTGCACACACCTCACCTTAACTTTGCGGCTCGTATCCAACGACCTTTGTTGCATCAGGCTTTGATGAATGGAGGTTTGGTTACAGCCTGAATCTACCAAAGCCTGATATGTACCCCCCTTGATACTCACAGGTATTTGGTACAGCCCGGCTTGATCGGGGGCAGCCGCCTGGAAGTCGGGAACCCGGATCAACGCTCCCACCTCCAACATTAGACACCGGTCCAAAAAATGACCCGGGTTCCCGCATCTCCAGCAGACCGGCCCAGGCCTTCCCGCCGCCCCAGCGGCAGAAGGATGGCCAAGAGATTGGTGGAGAGAGGAGAAAGGCGGCAATGGAACGGCGGCTCCTGCGCTCTCAGCTACGCCCCCTCGTGTCCCCGGTCTGGTCCCCTGGAAGACCCCACCCCGCTGTGGGGTTCGTGGGGGCGCATTACTACGTGACCTGGGAGTAGGAATAGGGCGATAGAGAGAAGGAAGGGAAGGAGAGGGGGGAAGAGAGAGATTAAAAAGGGGCTCGCCAACCCCCGGGCACGCCACCAGATGGTCTTTAGCCAGCTGGATGGCCTGCGTCAGCGACGTCGGGCGGTAACACTGGACCCACTCAGCCGTCCCTCGTGGTAGCTGAGTGACGAACTGCTCCAGCACCACCAGATCGACCACTCCCTCGACGCCGCATTCCTCTGCCAGCAGCCACTTGCAGCAAGCGTCCCGGAGCTGTCGGGCCATCACGAATGGCTGGCCACAATCCCCCAGCTCCCTTGACCGGAAGCGTTGCTGATGTTGTTCGGGGGTACGGCCGACTCGTTGAAGAGGTCCACGAAAGTTCCAATTCTCATCAAAAGCTTTTTTTATAGCAATGCTGTATGCTAAAAATCATGTTAGGAATTGTGTAGATTCCAAAATTCCTTCTGAGTGATGGTAGGAAAAAAGAAAAACAACTTGACTTATCTTGCACAATCACTGCAATGTTTTCCAAAATCAACTTGTCAGTGCAGTAGTGGAGTAAAGTTACCAGCATGACCCTCAGTGCATTAGTAAATCACAACAAACCCCAACAGCAAACCCTACCAGAGTCAGATTTAAAAGCCAGTCACTGATAACATCTTACCGCTAAGTACTTTAGACGACAAGCCCCATTAAAAAGACAACATCAAGATCAAAACCCAGTAAATCTGTCTTTATTATATATTTCAATTGCATTAATTTAATATGCATTGCTTTTTGCAACAAGCAAAGAACACAAAGATGAAAGTGGGAAGGTGATGACTGAGCATATGTGAATAAGTACCACTGGAGGTAAAGAAAATCAGTCTTTTGAATATGATCAGATCACAGTTAACCACATACTGTACATCATAACTGCACCTAATACCTTCACAATCTTCTCAATCACTGACAAAATACACGGACAAAAAATGCTGCATTTGGAATCAAAAGTGCTGATATCAAACCATGACCGTATAAGCATACAAGCATGATGAGCTAGACGACACGCAAAGAAGCAAAGCCTAAATGTTTAGTGTCTTCATTATCACACACGTGCACACACACACACACACACAGACACACACACTCAGATCCAGCTCCAACACAAAAGCTTGTCGATGTGTTTTCTTCACTTGGAGGGTAAGAAAGACTTCAGGAAAATATAGCAGTCACAGGATCATAAAGGAAATAAAATCAGTTATTTAAAGAAACGCCTTATGCAGGATAGTGTTCAACTGAAACAACATACACATAGAACATAAATAGGGCCTAAAAAAACAATAATACATATTTATGCACAGTAACAAAAAAGAAAAAAAAACTGATAAATTCACTGAGTGTTCAGGAGTGCTTGAGTATTTGTTCATGCATAATGAGGCATCTAGCTCAGGAGCTCCAGGTATGTGACAGGCACTTTGCCTTTCTGGTTGCCTCGCTCGCCAATAAGCCAGTCCGGGTCCATGCCGGGCACCGTGTACACAGTAATAAGCTACAGAATAACAGAAAGAAAGAGAGAAAGAAAAAAATGAAGTAGACATTTTGATGTGGGCTGACTGTGTTGCAATGGGCACAGTCCTCCAGATGCATTCAATTAATTTAAGTATACTGTAACAACAGACATGTATAAACAGTGGTTTACAGATGTGTATTAAGAAATCCACATTTGCAGTCATCCCTTTTGACGTCTTTTGATGATTAAGATTCATAGGCCTGCATATCTGAGACGGGTCTGTGAGGTTGAATCATATGACACTGTCTGGCAGGGTTCAAACGTAAAACCTTTAGGTTACAAGCCCATTTCATTAAACAAATGGCAATGTCACAGAGACTGTAAGTAAACTAGCTTAAACTGACCATGATAGGCAAGAAACAAAAAATGCACTTAGTAACAATACAGAGAACTACAAAAGAAAGTCATTTATCAAAAAAAGAGAAGGGTTAAAAAATTAAATATCTGTTATTTATATATTTATAATAATTACATTATAAATAGTTATAATAAAAACAATACATTTTAATATAATAAAATTTGTTCAAATTAAATAACATTTCCCAATAAAATTGTTTTTAAAGGGGACATCGGATGCACAAGTCACTTTTACATGTAGTTTGCATATAAATTTGCCTTAGCACTGTGTGGACAGAAGCAGAATGATAAAAGAAATTAATAAATAAATAAAAAATTCACGCCTTAAAAACCTATACAGTCTCAATTATCAAGCTGTTTTGAGTTATGACGTCATACTGCTCAGACCCCGCCCACGACAGCATATTTCCGCCCTCAGCTAGTTGTACGCTGTCTGTCATTTTTTCCACACTCGAGCAGCTGTAGCTACATGTCTCGTAAGCAATGCAGGTGGTTTGATGGTTTTGGATGTAAAAGTGAACATAAGGCTGGTTATGACATCAGACATCAGAGCCACAGAGGACGTAGTGGAAGTTTTGAGCTACAAGTTTTGTTTTTGATGGTAATGCGCCACCAAATACACAAAAACTGAAGAGGGGGTCGGTGAGCAGTAGCTTATTATCATTTAAAGAGACATTCAGCAAAACGGGACATTTCACGAAGACCCTAAAGAATCACACCAACCTGTGAAAAATGGGCATCCGATGTCCCCTTTAATAAATACAATACATTTTCATTACAGTACATACTAAACTTACTAAAATCACTAATACTGATATAATGAATGTTACTGACAGTGTTGGGGAGTAGCTAGCTACAAGTAGCCACACTACTAACGTAACTACATTTTTCAGTAGCTTGACAATAGCTCAGCTACTTTTAAAACAATGTAGTGTTTCCAGTAGCTAACTACTTTTTCCAGCAAACAGCAGTGTAGCGTGATACCAGCTACACTCTATTTTGTGAGCCTGCAATAGACTGAAGCAGCACAGCGTCTTGTTACAAGATCACATTACCGCCATCTACTGGTACTATATATGTCACGCAGCATCAGTAGTAAATGCTACACATCTCCGCAAGCGCTGATTTTGAGTCAAGTGCCAAATCTTCCCAAACTTACTGAGAAGTATTTATAAACCTGATGTCCAACAAAAGAGAACATTTAATAACATGATTTTAGTCCACAATATCAGTCAAGAGTTTGAAATAACTTCCTTTTCTGATCTGATGTGGCTTCTTATCACAGAATGAGGCAGAAAATATAATCTATACTGTAATAAAGGCTATGCCAATTAGCAATGGATTATAAATTTACTTTATTATTATGAAAAACCCAAGATGGCTTGAAGAACACAGATAAACCATATATTGTCGCACTCATGGGTTTAGTGTCCTTATGTTTAATCAGTTCAAGCGTTTCTATCTTCTTTTTATTCAGCTACGGCGAAACCAATGCCTTTGTCCATATTAGGAATTTTACCTGGATTGTCAGGAGTTCTATTACTTCTGTGTTGCATATGTGGAGTTTCTGCGTGATCGAGGGCGCCCTCCGGCTGCCAGTATGAAAACAACAGACATTCATACGGGCCATATTTACTTACAGCTTACGCCAGTGGAAAACGCCTTTTGGTGTAAATATACTACTGTCAGGATTTACTAAAGACGCGTTCTTTTACTAAAGATGCATTCTTTAGGTGTTCTTTAACTTGTGCGTTGTCAGTAAATCACCCGCAGCAATTTCCACTCCCATTGACCCTGTTTAGGAAATCTGGCCCTATTGTCTTTAGGGCTAAGTAATGCGCACTCAGTCCTATTTTGGGCATAAATAGGAAAAATAATACTTCTCTCTAAAGAAATTTGAAGTAAACATATGATAATCCATGTTTTTCTTCAGTGTATAGAAGTGTACTGGAGTACACTTCTCCACCCCCACAGTGGATGTATAAAAGGCTCAAAGCCTATTTCATATTAAAGATATGGACTCCGTTTTTGATTTGACATACTTCCTGATAAAAATTAAGAATTACTGTCAAAGATTTTTATCATAAAAGTATCATATGATGTACAGTTCCCTTTCAGTCGGTCACTCTCGACATCACGTCGGAGGACCGACGAATTGGGATCTCGCTTAGAGGGGCCAATCTACTTCGAGTGTAAACTAAACGAGCCAATGCACATTGGCATGCGATTATTGCATCCAGCTGCTGCTGATCACAGCGTGAGTATAAGTAGGCAGCTTTTCGCTTCGGAGCCGAGCGGTTCTATCGTTCTGCTCCTGACCTTCTGCAGTAGTGACAAACTACAGTCAAGCACGCTCTTCGGTGGGCTCTCGTGCTGGTGGACGGCGCTTCAGTGGCGGTGGTTTTCCCGTGTCGAGTGGGTTGCACACAACAGGCTGCACTACCCCTGTGCGCTTCAGCACATTAAGAAGAGCTCTCCAAGAGCGTGCTGAACTCGTTCAGTCTTCTCTCCGTAGAGTAGTCAGGAGCGGAACGATGTGATCGCTCGGCTCCGAAGCGAAAAGCTGAATATGCGCTGCACCTGCTGCCTACTTATACTCACGCTGTGATCAGCAGCAGCTGGATGCAATAATCGCATGCCAATGTGCATTGGCTCGTTTAGTTTACACTCGAAGTAGATTGGTCCCTCTAAGCGAGATCCCAATTCGTCGGTCCTCCGACGTGACGTCTCTGTTCCCTCCTTCAGGGAACGAGGGTTACATACGTAACCAAGACGTTATAGGCTGCCTGTATGTTAACTATAGTAATCCTGCAGTTTTTTGTAAAACAATAGTTTTCTGTAAAATAAAATTAGTATTGTTATCTTATTATATATTACATATACATTATAATATACATTATTATAATGTTTTTTGTTAATTTTTTAAATGTTTTTTTAATCACTTTTTAAATCACAAAATGCGAGTTTAACCAGAAAAAAAATCACAATTAGATTATTTTCCCCAAATAACACCTGTTAGTGCTTTCCCTGTCAGAGCCAATACTGTGTCAGACTTCAATACCATTTCTTGCCATAATGCAGCCATCTATCACAGTAGTTTTGAGAAAATGCTTCTGTGTGCTTAATTTAAGTTACTAAAACAATAGTCTTTGACATCATAATTGTATAGCATTGTTGTTTTAAATATACATTTTTTTAACTTAAAACATTCTTTATGAACGCTTATTCAGTTATTTGTAATATACATTGTTGTGGAAAAAAAGTTGTTTCAATGTAGCTAGCTACTTTTCAGAAGGGTAGCTTGACTTGTACTTTAACTTATGAGTAGCTTGTGGCTTATCAAGCTACAGTTTCAGAGTAGCTTCCCCAACATTGGTTACTGATTGTAAAGAGGGAAAACAGACTTCCTCATGTCCTACCTCATCAGCGAGAAGGGAAAGTTCACTTGTATCTGCAGCATCATAGTCATACAGCACTTTGGCCTTGCGAGTGCCAGTGGCGGCAGGCTTCACCTCCTCAATCTTCAGCGTGCTGGACTCAAGGGCATTGGAGGGGTTTGGGGGACGACTAGGTGGAGAAGCCCCAGGTAGGGTGGCAGTGGAAAGGGGAGAAGGGCCTGCTGACACCCCTGACGTGGAGGCGTTCACAGCAAAAGCATTAGGAAACCTGGAACAGATTCACAGATTCAAAACCATAGTGTATGCGATTGCGAATAGATATAAATATCTAGCTGTTGCTCACACATGACACAGATATTATATAAAAGGCGAAAGACTTAAAATCCCTTGGTCACATGAATGTAATCGTTTAAATTTAGTGGGCAAACTTTCTTCCTTTTTCAGTGTGATGGAAAAATTTACTTACGCATCTCCGTTTGCACTGAGAACAGGAAAGAAAAAGCAGAAAAAAAATCATCAGCTCAAAGATGATCTCAAGAAGTCTTTTCTAGAAAAGCAGTTACCATAAAGGGGAATGTGTTACTCACAACTTGTTTTAGCACATTGCTCTATAATAAAAATAGACTAATGTTACCAAACTGTCATGCAACTCCTGTAAAACATGGTCTTATTTGACTACAATCGCTTTAGGACAGAAGAACAAACAGCTGTTTATGTTTATTTTGAAGTTTGCAGCACCTCCCTGAAGTTCTCACCTGCTCAGCTCTTTCTGAAGATCCTGCATGTGCTTGTGACACTGTGCGTAATAAGCAGCCTGGGCCTCCACAAACTCATGCAGACAGCGCAAGTGGTTCACCTGTGATGGAGTTGCACAATTTTAAAAGTCTCTTTCCTTACTTGGAAAGAGATATACTAGTCTACAGTACTGTTCAAAAAAACTGGGGTCACAATTTTTCAAATAAAAAACAGACAATACATATTACGATATTTTGTTTTCCTTTTTACAATATATTTTAAAATGCAGTTTATTCATGAGATGGCAAAGCTACATTTTCTTCAGTCAGTGTAGTATGTTCCTGCTCAAGAAACCTTTTTATTATTAGCAATGTTGAAAACTGCTCAATATTTCTGTGGAAGATGTAATAACTTTCAGGATTTTTTCACTTTTTATAAGTTTAATGTGTCTTTGCTGAATAACAATCAGTATTAATTAAGCATTAATTTCTTTCCAAAAAAAACACAGACCCTAAACTTTTGAACGGTGGCACTGCAACTAATTTTGTTTGCGTAATGTCCAATATGAAGGCAGTGTGAGTGTGAGAAGCGCAGGTACTCACGTGTGTGCTGCTGATGCCCTCCAGCAGGAGGCATGTGACCTCTGCCTGTCTGTCAAACTCAGTCTGAGCCACACGCAACTCATGCTCTGCCTGGTGGAGCCACAAAACAACACAGGACACATTATCCACATAGCTCAACTATACATTCTTGTCAAATGTTTTATAGGAAAAGAGTTCTCAGTCACACAATATATTTTTGATTTGTCATCATTGCATCTTCATTATAAGTCTTAGGAATTATGAATCACATAACACAGGCCAGACTCCTTAACCTCAAACCACATGTCACATGACCCTGTGGCTCAGCATGAGCTCATCATCTAACCGCTCTAACCGCTCAAAATTATTTATAGTATAACTAGTCACTGACAAACACCAGATATGTTTATATAGTAAATGAGCGGTTTGAAATATAAGAGTAAAGGCTCTAAAATTTGTAATAACATTTATTATAAAGATGAAATGATGACAGCAAAATGTCTTGCTAACCAAGCACTATTTACCAAAAAAACAGAAAGAAATAGCTGGATTTTATAGCTGCTGTAACAAAAACATCTCTTGGCTAAAGGTATCTACTCTTAACACAAATCATGACCATGTTGCCGTGACTTTTTTTTTTTATATATAATTGCAACTTTACAGATCTTCTTTATGCAACAAGAGCTTGTAACACTCCAAAGAGAAAGGAAAACTTGAAATCGCATCATATGACCCCTTTAAAAAAATTGCAGAACACATTTTTCTTTTCCTACTGTTTTATATTTCCATATGTCTGGACAGCCAGATATTATGACGTTAGATTCATATCCAACATTTTCAACATTGTAGTCATTAGAATGTGAGAATAATTGAAGACTTGCTGAAATCTGTATTGTTTGTTAGGTTAAGTCTGATTGACAGATGTGTACAGATAGAAATATAAGCAGTAGGAGCATGAATTACATGTTATTATTAGGGGTGTGACAGGACACAGTATTTTTAAGAAATCCTCGATGAAATACATGACTGGAACAGTAGTCTGCAGGTGCATTTTGAAAAGTTTTACCTAATCATCTTGTATTGAATGTCATTTCAGTTCTTTTTGATGAGTAAGAATGATCATACACAGTAAAAGACAACAATATCCAAGCACTGTAAAAGGTTTTACCACAAACTCAACAGACAGGCTTCTCCTCTGTACAAGTCTCTTCAGACCTTAGAACTGTACATGAATTATGAGCTTCTAGAACGTCTGACCTTCTAACATAACTCCTTTCCACAAATTGTTCCACAAGGTTTTTTCTTGGTCATATTTAAGTGCAAACAATAAGTGTTAGTATTCAAAGTGCAAACAGAGATCAAATTTTTCTTCAAGCATGATTCAGACATTTCAATTAGACATGTCAATTAAGTACTAGCAAAAAAGACATTTACAGTAGTGGTCCAAATTTATCTGCAAAATGTTGATTATTTTACCAAAATAAGAGGAATCATACAAAATGCATGTTATTTTTATTTTATTTAGTACTGACCTGAATAAGATATTTCACATAAAAGACATTTGCATATAGTCCACAAGAAAAACTAATAATTGAATTTATAAAAATAACCCTGTTCAAAAGTTTACATACGCTTGATTCTTAATACTGTATTGTTACGTGGATGATCCATAGCTTTTTTTTTTTTTTTTTTTTACTGATAATTGTTCACGATTCCCTTTTGTCCTGAACCGTTAAACTGCCCGCTGTTCTTCAGAAAAATCCTTCAGGTCCCACATATTCTTTGGTTTTCCAGCATCTTTTGCGTATCTGAACCCTTTCCAACAATGACTGTATGATTTTGAGATCCATCTTTTCACACTGAGGACAACTGAGGGACTTATAGCTATTTCAAAAAGGTTTGAACGCTCACTGATGCTCCAGCAGGAAACACGATGCATTAAGAGCCTGGAGGTGAAAACTTCTTTTATTTGAAGATCAGAGTAAATGTAATTTATTTTGTCTTCTGGGAAACATGCAAGTATCTTCTGTAGCTTCTGAAGGGCAGTACTAAATATAATGATATTTAGGCAAAATACAAAAAAATGTATACATCTTTATTCTGTTCAACAGTTTACACCCCTGGTTCTTAATTCATTGTTTCCTTCTGGAGCATCAGTGAGCCTTTTGCAATAGATATGTATGAGTCCCTCAGTTGTCCCCTGAACATGATTTTGAGGGGGCCCCATAGCAAATTCAGTGCACAGGGCTCAGAATTCCTGGCGACGACACTGCATACTACTGTGCAAGATAATACGTACAGATCAGTTTAGAATTGAAGCGACCATTTTCCAACTGAATTAAATGGTTTTTTTTATATATAAAAAAGCAAAACGATAGTGGAGGCATGTAATGTAAATATATTGGTGGCATCGACTATGCTCGTTTCACGGTCACTTGGAGACACCTCAATGAGAAATTTCGTGGCATGAGATCTCGTCACACCCCTAGTTATTATGTAAACATTTATTACGTAAATCAATATGCAGTCATTTAATTGCTCCATGAGAACACAGTGAACAAAGTCATGTCTACATTTTCAGATGTGCTCATACAGCAGCAAAAGAAGAATTGGATCTTTGCCCAGTACTCACTTTATCCACTTCCTCACTCCACAGCTGGAACATGCATAACGACAAGAGAAGAACAGTGACGACAACATAACACAAACACTCTCTTTACAAAACACTGACTAAATTTCACATGTAAATGTAAATAACTAACATAAGAAAATATTAATAAATTTTTTTTAAAGTGTTGTACTGTTACACTTCATGGGATCTTAAGATGGAAAGAGACAGTCTAATGTAATCAGACACATAAGCAGTACAGGATCCTGAACCCTCTATAATGTCAAGACCCTATTAACACCACAACTACAATAAAAAATAAGAGCATACACATATCTTTTAAATAAAAGTGAAAAAATAAAAGCAAAGTTTTCCACCCCCTGCATTCCACTGCAAATGTTCATCACAGGGGATTTTCATGTTTTGACTTATGCAAAAACATGATGTTATCATTATTTCAAAACATCAAACTATATTACAGAACCAGTCAAAAGTTTGGACATGCTTAAATCAGGATTTTTTAGCATATTAGAATGATTTCTGAAGGATCATATGACACTGAAGACTGGAGTTACTGCTGCTGAAACTTCAGCTTTGCCATCACAGGAATAAATTACAAGATATTTTCTAATAGAAAACAGTTATTTAGAATTGTAAAAATATTTCACAATTTATATCACTTTATTTTACTACAATTGATATCTTAGATGCAAGATGGTGATCGTTGTGTTTCAATGAAAAGTGAGTGGACTGATAAACAGAGTTGCCATGAATGATGGGAAAAATGTCTGGTTGCAACTAATCAATGAAAATTGAGCATTCCAGAAAGTTGTTTAATAAAACGCTTTAATGACTTTCTACACTTAAGAATAAAGAAGGAGTAGCTGTGTCCAAACTTTTGAGCTTTACTGTACATAACATATCTATATGAACACACACAAACAACAACAACAAACCACCATTATGCACTACTGCCAAAACATTAATCAAACACACAGGGAAAGGCACACAGGCCCACAACACTGCAAGAAGGGAGATGGAAAAAAGAAAGTGTTACTGTGGTAAACTCACAACATTGACAGAATGGAAAGCAGGACTAGTTTTAAACAATGGAAAGGAAATGCTAATGTCCATCACTGAGCTGTGCTGGCAAGACACACACAATAAATGCTGCTTGTCTGTAAGTACACTACTCTATGAGGGGTTTATATAATGCTTCACTTCAGATTCAAGTTCTGTCAATCAGAGATGAATCACCAACTTCACTATCCCACTGCGTGGAATAAACAATACAAAGACAATGGGACGATGGATCTGTGTTTCGTTGCGAAAGTAAAAATACTTTGTTTGGCCTTCCAAAAGAGGACACAACTAGAAATCAGTGGTTAAGTTGTATAAGTTGAACAACACTGTTCCAGAACAGTTCAACCCAAATATTTGTGTGTGTGAAACGCATTTTACGGAGGACTGTTTCCTGATCCTGGGAGAGCAGACTACAATACCGGCTGTTCTGACTCACAGTTCGTAAATATGTTTTTGAAATTTAAAGAATTTGCCACTGATGATTCAAACGTGAGTTTTGAACAGTGTAGAGTAGCGCTTGTTGTTTGTTGTTTCTCCGATCACAAATGCAGACATGGTTTTTTGTTTACGCGGCGCGATATGCAACTCAGCGCGTAAAAAGACAGTATAAGTCATTATAATCTGTAATTATGTCCCCACTGGATGCAACAAATGCCTCGTTTATAATGGGTTTTATTGGTTTTGTCTCGTCACGCCGGGACACAGCATCATATGGTAAGGGGCGTAACATTTCCGTCACACGTTTGAGGTATCCGGCCAATCACAACGCACTGTATCGCTGGCCAATCAGAGCACACCTCGCTTTTCAGACCGATGAGCTTTGTAAAAATCTACGCGTTTCAGAAAGGCGGGGCATAAAAGAGAAACAATAATGTAAAGTATATGGAAAATATTGTGTTTTTTTTACCTTAAACCGCATAAACACATTTCATTACATCAAATACACAAAATAATGTTTTTTTTAGCAACGTCATATGACCCCTTTAATTGTAATCTGTCACTGTTTTGCAGGAGTATAATAAACAGTAAGGTTTTATCTTAGTACAGTTGTACTGTATGACATAGAACAAGAGCAGTTTTTTCTTTGAACGTTTTTGGTCCCCATGTGCCATATTCTTGTAAATATTAAATGCTGTTGAAATTAACCAAAGTAGACAAGATTCTAATATAACAGATAACGGAGATACATAAAATGAGTCATTAATATACACATGCATACAATCCAAAATATGTGTGTGTGTGTGTGTGTTTGTGTGTACATTATATTATACACACTAAAACCATACACACTATAATTAAATTCAATTAAGCTTTTTTACATTTGGCTTAAAATAGCTTAGGCTTTTTCCCCCTCTTTTTTTAACTTTTCTATCATTCGTATTTCGCAAAACCCCTCCACTACCATCACGGGTTTTGCGGAAATCCAGTTGGGAAATGCTGCTCTATAATATACAGTCCATTATGAGAAAAAAAAAAATACAAATTACATGCAGCCATTTAATGTAACTGTGACTTCAAAATGGACTGACTTTTGAAAGGTTTTTTTTTTTTTGATCAAGGCACTGCAGAGGGGGCAGATACAGTAGATCAACTATCAAGCCTGTACATGTAACTGCTAACAGGAAGCAGCCAAGGATGAAAGGCAGCTGAGAAATCACACACACACACACACACACAGATACTCACATCTCCCTCACACTGTGCAAATGACAACAGAGAGACATGTTAGTGAATACACGGAAAGGAAAAAATTCCCCACAGATCACACAAATCACAGAGCACACCTGATGACTGAGTCATAATTGTATTCCATTGAACACACACACACAGACACACACAACTAAACTACCAGGTTCCTCTTGGAGGTCAAAGAGGTAACAATAGGCTCTGAGGACTTTTGATTACCCCTTCAATACTTGATATGTGTCAGGAGGGAAATCACACCTAAATGGTGTATTAGCAAACAATCTCATCTATGCAGGAAAGGAAGATATCAAAACATGATAAAACCGCACACAGCCCTCTGTGTAAACCTCAAATTATTCAGTCACTGAAAGGGATAAAATGAAGAAGCAAACAAGTAAAAGGAGAAGTCATTCGTGAAAGATGTTAACTTATGCTTTCTGACTCAGAGCTTCCCAGACAGAACTCAGAACTGATTCACAAATATCTTCCACATAACAAATAGTTCCTGAAAAACAACCCTTTTTTCAATGATTTAAACAGAATAAATCAGGAGCATCAATTTTTGGGGCAGGGCCACTTTTGGAAAATATGGAGTGACAAAGGGCCAGTGAATAAAATGATTTGGCAATGATACAGTAACTGGGTAACACTATACAATAGGTTTATTTGTAAACAGATCTTAGTTCAGTTTCAATTACTATGAATTATTACATTATATTATATTAGATTAGATTAGATTAGATTAGATTGATCCACTACTCACTAACATGATCAAACAATGAACAATTGCTGTTTTATTAAGATTACAGATCAATACATGCTGTACAAATATGTTACTCATTGTTAGTTCATGTTGGATAATGCATTAACTAATGTTAACAAATGAGACCTAAAAAAAGTGTTTCGGATAATTGCTCGGCTTTAACCAATAACAGTGATATCTTACATGAACTTCATATTTTGTCACCTCATGCACCAAATCAGTTAAGAGTTTGTCCGTTTGTTTTTTTAAAGATCCTTTTCATTGTCCAGAATGATTTAGTCCAGGTGAATTTAAACATGCAAGTCTTATTTACACAGCAATGCAACATTCAGAAATACTTCCAATTTCTTAACCAATTATTAGGATTCAGGCCATTTTGTGATTAACTGTCTTAAACCTTTCAGTGTTTTATTTGCCATGTCCCACAGTTTGTGTGTGCACCACAAGCCACAGAATCAGAATTGCGATTGTGAGTCACTTATAACCTTGTGGTGTGGATTCGAGCTGTGGGGCTAGACATTGAATATTCTTGCTTTAGGTCATACTTCCTGAAATGTCCCTCTAGAGATCCGAATCCTCCTTTAACAGCTCATAAGCGGTGTGTGATGAGAGGGTGGTGGAGGAGATGAAAGAACGTGAGAGGAGGAAGACATGTGATGATGGGGATGAAATAAGTGAAAATGAAACTTACAGCAGCCTTGGCCTCTGCTAACTTTGCCTTCTTGAGCCGAGCTTTGCAAATGTCCAGGTCAAGGCGTCGGTTCTCAAGTAGCCTTCTCTCTTTCTGAAAACAGAACATACAGACTATCGTAAAAAAAGGAAATATTCAAGTCTACTTGAATATGCATTTGTAGTGTATTTCATATATTAAAAGTAGATTTTTAAAAAGAAAAAAAAAATTAAATAATAAGCCACTTGAGCGTATATAAAGAGAGTACAATTGCATGATAATGTTTCTTAACACTCTTTAGTAATAATGTCAAATTAAAAGATTTACTTTAAAGTACATTTTAAATCAAATAATCTTTTGTCGTGCTTCTTTTGGTGTTAACATACTAAAGCATTTGTTAAGTATTTGGTTGTAATTTTAACTGTAGTATTGTTTTATACGGTATATATATATATATA